ACATTTCAATCCAAACGCCCATTAAATGCCAAAAAGAAGACAAAAGGTCCCAAAATTGGTCTCCAATTGACGGCAAAAGAAAGGAAACGAGTCTTCGCTTTGGGTAGAAATGATGTCAAATACGAGACGTTTGAGAGAATCAATCATTTGTGGCACAAATACGTGGATTCGTTGATGAATGAGATTAAGTCGAAGAGCGATGAACTCAAACTAATTCGGGCCGACTTTCACGGCTCGTACTTTATAGTGACGGCTGCGAAGAACCCGACGTTAATCGGCGTTAAAGGGTTTGTCGTGAATGAGACCAAAAACACGTTCAAAATCGTTAATAAAGAGAATCGACTCCTGAGTGAGAATTCATATTCTTTGACAAATATTTTGATTTCAATCATTAATTGTATTATCATTTGAACAGCGGTTCCAAAAGACGGCACAGTCTTCGCCTTCGAACACAAGCAGAAGATTTTTAAACTCAATGGATATAACCTGAAGATGAGTTCACACCACAGATCAAAGACAAAACCGAAACTCAAAATGAATGAGATATTAATCGATATGTGAATAAATTGTTTAAGAATTGATTTATTATTACATTATTTTAATATAGAAATAGAAAGAGTTGTCGACAACAATCTGAATGTTTTAAAAATGCATAATTAGTTCAGAAATAAGCGGTCACTCTATCGATCTCTTGGAGGTCATCCATCACTTGACTCGGAGTGGTTCCGATCTTTTTGGCCAAATCTGACTTTTCATTCATCGAAAGTGTGGCAAATTTGACGAGAAGATCGCCGTCTAATATATTCTTCGATGGATTCATGAGCTCTGGTCTCGAGATCTTAATCATGCGGAAGGCCTTCGGGTTGAGTCCCGCCGTGTGTTGTAATGAAACGGTCAGTACGTTCTGTAACATCAATAGCCGTCGGTATGTCTTCTCAGAGACGGGAAGGAAATAACCGAGACTTCCGTCGAGTGACGCAAACATTGTAATGTGTCGGCACTGGAGCTGTTGTTTCACTCGTTTATCGGTAATATTTGCCGGTATTTTACATCCAATTCGGAAAAACGAGTTTATATTTGAGCCAAAATGAAAGTCCGCGCGCCGTAGAAGTCTGGTTCCGCCCATACTTTCCCTGACGTCCGGTTGGTATGAATACAATATGATATTCTTCTCGGAGTCCGAAATGGCGAAACACATCTGCGAGCCGTCGATCGCGTAATCGCAGGCAAACACTTGTAGAGAACGACAGTCTTTGCTCACAAGGGATAGGGTTCGGGTCTCCTCTTGATATCGCAATAGAGATATCGATTTATAGACGTCTGCAATGAGGACCAGATTCTTGACAGAAATGGCAGAATGAATGTAGAGTTGAGTGTCGATGAAAGCGATGCCAATAAGTGACGACTCCTTCAACTGCCAGATGTAGAGCTTCTGTCCGATGGCTGTGAGAAGAAAGCCCTTCACTTGACATAATGTAGTGATCGGACCCTTTTGTTCCTTACAATACACGGTTTTGATCTTGTTTTTAGTCAAAGGTAGTCCGGGTTCGGGAACCACTTCAATGATGTCCAAAATCCAAATGCGTCCGCGATTTGTCACGTCTTCGCCGTAATTATAATTGGTTCCCAAAGCGATGTAACCCTTGAGGCCGGATTCGGTGCCCTCAGAGGCGAGCATAACGTTCTTAATGCAAGTGATGTGTTCCCATTCTTCGAGTTCAATCTTTGTCGATGGAATGATTTCCCAACTGACCGGTGATATCAATTGAATGCAAAATCGTTCGGTCGTCGGATAGATATATCTATTCTCTCTTTCAAGAAAGTCGTAATCTTTCTCTTCGCCTCCAATTCGGACAAGTTTTGTCACTTCTTCTAAAACACTGGTCACTAAACAGTATGTCTTACTGTCGACGTGATAATTGATGAAATGAGGGGTACATCTGAGCGGCACTTTCCTTACGGGCCAATTGGCGTCATAGTTGAGATGAGTGGCCAACGAACAGATCCGCAACTCTTCCTTATTGTTGAAATATAGGAAACCTTTCGGACAATTCATGTTATGAAAGGGCGCGAAACAAGTGACCGCTCCGTCGATACTCATCTCATGGATACGAAGTTCTCCTCTGTATGTCATTATAAACCAATGAGGGTATGGACTGCAGAAGAATACTCCCGAATAGCCGGATATGTCGTGAAAGCAACGCAACCACATTCGGGTCGTCGGCAAAGTGGATGCGGTTTCGGGTTCATTGGTCTCCGAATCAAATGCATTGGTTTTGCGACAAATCTTGGGCTCATTTACCAGAATGTTATGATTGGTATACTTCTTGAAGCGAACTTTCAAATGATTGTCCACTTGTGTCTCATAGAAAGGAAACGTCTCGTAAATGAGTAACTCGTCGTCAAAGCGGGCGAAAAGCATAGGACGCGACTGTTTGGCTCCCATTCCTGTCACTAAAATCTCGAGAGTGATTGGCATCGAAGAGGGCGAGTCTTGTTGCTGTTGAGAGCCCGTATGGTCTGTGCTCTGAACGCTGTCGACCAGCACTTTGGGACCCATTGGGAAGTTCTTAACCAAATACGAGAGTTTAAATGTCGGCAAACTATAGATCTCGAGAATGCCGTTCTCTCTGACGATAAACAGCCAATACGTGGGTTCGTGTGCTTTCATCACTTGTATCTTTGGCTCATTTATCTCCGGACTCGTCGGTTGGTCTTTACTCTCCACAGTATTCACAGTCTCAGTGATATTATAGTCGCCGTATAGGAGTTCGTCCTCTTCATCGACAGTGGAAACATTGGGCAAAGCGGACACCTGTGCGGCCACTGTTGCCGCAGACTTCGACTTAGAGACAGGACTCGTAGTGTTTGACGCGTTTTGATTGAACTGTTCTTTCGCTTGTGTAGTAAACAAACCGCTCGTATCCTTATAGACACAAATGGCCACTATTTTTGACTTTGCAGTCAAGAGGTCAGGTCGGGAGACAAGAAGTCTAGCATTACTGCCATTGCTGTCAAGCTTTAGACACAATAAAATAATAACTCCGTTTTGACTCATAAGGACGGCGTATGGATCAGCTAAGGATGTGTAACAAATAGGAGATCCGACGTCTATTGGAAAGTGTTGTAACTCTCGGATACCATCGAGAAGTCTGACGCCCATCGGCGACACCTGAAGTATATATTGATTTGAACCTAAATTACCGGCAAATACTGTTGAGGTCTGACTACTGAAACCGCTTTGATCTAATTCATTGATCTCTTGGCCCGTTTGCAGGACAAGCGTCGCGTCCGATCGGCTCAGTATGAGATACGCGTGATATGCACTCGCGTTGGTCTCCGTCGACTCAACAGTCTCTTCAGTGGCTTTAGATTTTGGGCCGTAAACTGTCCACATGTCTGTACAACCGGGCAATTCAAATGTAGTTACTATTTGTGGCCTTAAGGTCCGTTGGAGTACACTTAGCGCTCCGTTCTTAGCGTAACCAGAAGTGGTCACCAGTTCCAGGTCTGGCTCTTTACTGGACGCAAATTCTTCGGCCAACAGCGCCGGCTCTCCCATACATACCTGACCGCAGGGCCCGATGTTTATGAGAGAATCGCACACTTCAAACACCAATGTTGTCGGCGTTTCCTTTTTCATTGAACTCACTTCTTGCGGACCGTAGGCCTCGAGCAGATCCTTATCGGCGACCAGAGCCACATCACCGGCAAACCAGTTATCAATATTGTCTTTCTCTGTCTTCTCGGGCTCAATGTCTTCTGATTTGATCTTCTTAGCCGACGGTTCACTCGATTCTTCCGATTCTGCAGTATTTTCTGCAGAATTATCATTATTTACGTCTTCGTTCGCGCTTTGATCATCCGTTTTATCATTTGTTTCATCAGTTGTCACCTCAAGAGAGGGTTCGGTAACGGATTCAGCGGTGATTTTATTGTGAATTTCTTCGTATGGTTTTTCAACGTAATGAACGAGTATAGAGTGTCCCAAACGTGAGCCCAAGAAAATGTATCCGTTTTCACAGAGCGTTATACACGTCGAGAGCACACTTGCGGCACATCTGTCGAAATGAAAGCCACGAATACTCCGAGTCATGTCATTAGAGAGGGAGAGGACATAGAGTTCGCCGGTTCTTAAACTGATGACCAGTTTGTCATTAGATATGAAACACGCTTTAGAAGAGTCGAGCGATATCTTAATATCTTCTTGAGGTCTCAAGAGGAATGATGTGTTGCCTTCGGTAAAGCTATTCAAGGAGACGCCAAATGGTGGCAAACCTTGATTTAAGTGAATGATTGAACTGTAGGCAAAGATGAGGACTCCGCCGATGGGTTTGGGAACCGGCATCGCTTGGAAACAGTCGTACGGCAAGTGATTCATCGACCAGATGTGCGGATGGACTCGTTGGTGGACATCGAGTGAGAGGACAAGCATTGCACACGTGTCCTGACGTACGGCCACCCGTCCGGCCCACGTCCTCACCGGCTCGTAGAGTATGAGAAGAGTTGGTTCGTAATAGTTGTGCAAAAACTGAATGTCAATTATATTATTGACTTTTTCGCCGTATTGTTCACTATTCAGATCCAACTTATATGAAGCCATAACCGGTGTCTTCGCCGCCGCACTCGTCATCGGGAAAGCGGCGGTCGAAGAGGAGAGACCGCTCTTCTGGTCATCAGCGGTGATGTCTTTACGAAAGGGCAAAATCATGATATTCTTGGAGTAGAGGAGAAGAGCGGCGCAACGGCTGTCGGGATCGCACCTCACGATCGGTGGCCGCGAGAACTGAGTGAAGCCGCCTCTCATCTCCTGCTCCTCGAAGTAGTGAAGAGAAGTGGTCTTCAAGTCGTGAGTGTTTGGGTCGTACTCTACGACAGACAGTTTGGCCGAACGGAAGGCCAACAACAGTGAGTCCCGATTGGAGGACATGAAACTCACTTTACTTATGGACTCAATGTTCCCGAAGAGTGTGAAACTCTGGACGCACTCTAACCGCACTTTCGACCCATCCTTTGGCTCCTTTCCATTGGCCTCCGAGTCGTTGGCCGACTCTCTTGTTACGTCTTCGTCGGCCGATTCGGTGACCAATCGGTAGACTTTGAGTTGAGTGGATCCGGCCGTCACTAAATTGCTCTCATAGTTGTTATAGAAGTGACAATAAATGGATGATTCCGTTTGTGTCGGCAAATGACTCGTCCGACAGATGCCATACATCGCTGTGTCGTGGGATGTGATGTCTTCGCGTAATGTCTGACCACAAACTCAATCAATCAGTAAATCATTTGTCGGTCTTTTGGTTCAAAAAACGTGAAAACAATTCATAAATAAATGTTTGCAAACATTGAGTCCAATAGTGGGCTATAGTGGGCGCCACTCATCACATACTTATGCCATTGAATGGCAATTGTCTTTCATTGTCTTCATATTCTTACCTCCAGACCTATTCCTCCGATCACTATTTAGTTCCCACTTTAATAACAATTGTCGTCTGTCTGGTGACCGACGGGTCCGCACCCGACACCACCTTTCATTTTGCTTATGGCAACCAATTACTACTTAACATGGGTTGCAATAGGAATACCAGTTAACAAATGTACCATGGTGCACGCACAATAGACAATGGTCATCTTGTAATATCTCCATAATAATGTCCGAACATTTGTAATTTGATTCCCATTACCGGACAGTTATGGTCACTTGTGTCAGACAATGGTTTGGTTATAAACGCAACAATTATTTGCTATAATGGTTGCCATAATTGTTATAGAATTACTTATAGAATCTTTGATTACATGAATTCTTGAATATTTTCTATAATTATTTATTAAAATATTTGAAATTTATTTTATATGATTTTTAAAACTACAAGATTAAGAATAATAAATGCAAACAATTTTCAAACACAACAAAATAATTTTTAATGAGGTTTCGAGTGTTTTAGTGTAAATTACAAATCAATTTAAATCAATGGTAAGTCAATGAATACAATATAAACGCTGTACTCGACCGATATAATAGTTGTTAGAAATAACTTTTGATTTATTGTAAAAGTTATTTTAGTTGACAATAAATGTGCAAATAATTAAAAAATTAAAAATCATATTCTAATTGTGCTCTAAAACATACATTTTGTTTGTATCATATGTGACGAGATTTATGATCACTTAATTGAGATTATAATCATTTATTAATATATACTAAAAAACCATAAAATAATATAAAAATATACAAAAATAATAAAATGATTGAAAATAATGAACTAAAAAATATAAAATATTGATATCTTTATTATTAATAATTCTAATAAAAACTTAATAGTTAATGAATAAATGATCGATTGATTGCACATAACTTTTTATCAATAAAAAATTCGTTAAATAAATGATAAATTTGTTTGTTTTGATGGCACGAAGACTAGCTATACCTCCAAATTAGATAGATTTTCATCATAATCTATCTCATTATTAAATAAAAGTCATTAGATTTTTAACGTCAATGATATGAAGTTGTAATGAAAGCTAATTTTATCTCTTATTATATGTCAAAGATTTGACTAATTTAGATATCATTACATTTAAATATTGTATAAATCAAACGATAGCAACAATTTTTTGAATAATTCCTACATTTTGTTGACTAGTTTTTTACAAGAATTTGTTTTTTGGGTAATAATGAATGAAAATAATGACGAGTTTGAGATCAAACACAACAAATAACTCTCCCATTAGAATGTAAAAGAGTTTTTCTGTTGTTTGAATAAAATGGCAATTAATTTAATATTAGGTTTAGAGAGAGAGAGAGAGTGTGTGTATGTGTTGTCGTGACTGACGGACTGACTAGTCATTGGATGTGACAGAATCTGGAGTTCATTATTCGTTTTTTATCTTATTATTAGTATCTCTGGCATCACCTGCGCTCACAATAGGAGCAGATGTACTATTTTTAATGCCAACACTTCCACTACTATTTGATACATTAGGTGCTGAAGCAGGTGTTGGGCTCCGGCTTTTGCTGGTCTTCTCGCAGCCGGGAGTAGAGGATTGAGGAACGAGTGATCCGTTGGTCGAGCCATTGGATGAGCCATTAGTTGCTGTGTTTTGACACACTCTGTGGTGATTCTCCCAATCCTTGTGCTGACAGAATGACCCGCAATAACGGGCAGAATTACATCCACTGCACGTCTCACTCGCTTTTCGGCCACAATTCCAGCAATTCTTTAGGAAATGAGAATTGAATACTTAGTTTTGTATTCAAATTTATATTTGAATAATCGATGTCTCACTTCAGTCGAGTCGTCCTGATGTGTGATAGCGACCAACGCGTCCTCCGCCGCCTGTCTTCGGGCGTCTGTCACCAGTTTCTCCATTTTCAAGCGCTCGGCGGCCACTAATTCAGTCGCTTTCGTTTCCGCCGCCGACACAGCCTTTTGCAACTCAACCACTGCCTGACGTTTCACTTCATTTACGGCCTCTTCTTATTATTTAAATGTCAATTCATTTTTGTTAGTTTTGATTCAATTAAAAGGATTTTTACTTATTTACACCATTTTTAAATATGGAATTAAACTAATTTACGATATTCACTAAGTTAAAAAAGTAATTAATTTTTTAAACAATTCCAAATATATGTTAAGAACACTGATTAAAATAGCACACAAATAAATTTTAAATGAACAAGAATAATTTGTCTCATGATACTTTTTAAATTTGTTTAAGAGCATTATTTATCTTTAAGTATAGAAATGTCAGCAGAATATTCAGGAATTTGAATAAGTTATAGAGGAATACACTATTAATTTGTTTATATTCCCAATAATACTAAATAGTAATAAATCACTTAAACCAATCAATTGTATATTAACTGGTGTTCTATAGGGCTGTTAATACTATGAATATAATTAAAATGTAATTAAATAACAAACCCAAGTGTTTATGAGAGCCGGGAATGCGGCGAATGTCAGCGATTCTATCAATTTCAGAAAGAGCTGTCTTTTGGAAATGATTTGAAATCAATCCATCGATTCGTGGTTTTTTCAGTTCGTGAAAATCATGCGAAGAATGGGAAGAATGTGAGACATCTAAAGGGCTGAAATGTCGGCCGCGAAGGGATGGCATATTCCAGAGTCCATTATTACTGTATTCACTGACTCTGGATTCGCTTCTGTGCTGAAGAATAGCGAGCGCTCTCTTAGTCTTCTCAACCATTCCCAGAATGCAATTCAACATCTTTTTCATACAAATTCATACATTTTGATAAATTTTTAAAATTCACAATAAGTAAAATCAATAAAATTATAAATGTAACTAAACTGACCGTGTTAATATTTTTCCATTCTTCTTCCATATCCCTGTCTTCATTGTAGTCGCGATGCATTTGAGAGTACAGTCCGACAGTTGGTCTGCAATATTCCCTCTCAAACCTTTCGGCGACTGAAGAGTATCTGTCGTTCGAGTGTTCGGCCGACGGATGCGATGAATGAGTTCTTCCATTAATTGAATTTTCTCTGTTATTAGTGGAGCCGTGAAAGTGAGCCGAAGCGGCGCTGGCGTTGTGGTCGTCAAACATAGATCTTCCGGATGTGGACAGATGTGAGTGCAATATAGACGGGTTTGTCATGTGATGCGAGTGATGGCCACTTGAATGCAGTAATAGAGGCGCCAAACCGGCCGGACTTAAACGGCTCCCTATTGTGGGACTGAGTAATGGCTGATGTCTTTTTGGGGGCGGAGGACCCA